CAATAGGTCATCTAATCCAGTCCTCTGTGCTCAAGGGAGGATAACTAAGGGAATAACTAAGGAATAAGAGTAAAAGGATTAAAAAAACCCCACAACTATTTCAGGTTGAATGTCAGGAAAAGCTTCCTGACAGTAACAGCTACCGGGCTGTGAAATATTCTCTAAGGGAAGTGATGCAATTCTACCCCTTGGAACATTTCAAAATAGATTGCCACACAAGCAAATGGACAATAGAAACAATCCTGCAGTGGCAGGAAAATTTGACTAGATGACCCAATAGATCTTTTCTATCTCTAACTTCTACAGTTCATCAGAATTCCATTTTTATGGAAAACTGCAGACTGGAACTTGTTTTAGGGGCAGACCAAGAAAACGTTACAAAAGACACACTGAAGACCAACCTCCAATCTTACAACATTGACCTCAGCACCTGGGAGCTCTTAGCCCATGACAAGATCTGACAGCAGCAGCCCTGCCACCTCAGACTGGATGATTTTGAGAGCTTGTAGATTTCTGCAATCAAGGAGAGACGTGCAAGATGTAAAAAGCTAAAAGCAGCACTAATTCATTTACAATTGTCTTTACCTGTGGCACTTGTGGAGGAGGCTGCATGTCCAAAATCAGTCTTTGGTGTCATCTCAGGACCCACACACTCAATGGGAGACTTCATCATATGTAGAGGAAGCCTTCCCCGCCCCACCAAAAGAGGTCAATATTTAGTTGATTAAGTGATCCAGCAGCACATATGTATTTCCTAATTTACCATAGAAATGCCGGGCTGAAAGGGATCTCGAGAGGTCATCTAGTCCAGCCTGCTGCACTGGGGGCCAAATATACCTGACAAGGCCATACTTGACAAGTATTTGTCTAATGATTTTCAATATTTCTCCTCTCAGCAAAAAGAAGGGCTGCCAATGAAAAGCCCAGGAAGTGTCCTCAGTGAATAGACATCTGTCAAGTCCCACATCAGAGGCAACACAAGGAAAGGCCCATTTTCAAGAATGCCCATCCACTGGGCATTAGGAGGATGAAGCTTTAATAAGGTACTTGAGGCATTTGATAGGTTAATTATGCATCACTTAAAGAAAAAACCTTCCCTCAACTTTGCATTATGCACAACTCTGTCCCTGCAGTTGTAGCACTGGACACCAAGTTGTTCTGTACATTTCTTTGCAGTATGGGCTTCTCTCAAAGGGGCTAGTAACAGAGTTTGGAAACAGTGCATAAGAAGGGAGCCAACAGAACACTCTTCTAACACCGCTTGGCTGAACAATATTGGACATAATGTGGCCAGCCTGTATGTCTATCAGTTTGTCTACACTGGCTGGCCAAGCAGTTGGAAACAGATTTAATAAGAACTCTGTTTAGATAGAATTTGAACCCAGATTCTTAACTCTGGTTAACTTAAATTTTTTACATGCTTTGGGCTGTAGGGGCACAACCTAATTAAAGAAAACAAAACTAGGAAGAAAATTAAGACATTGCATGGCTAAGAAAGCACAGGGGCTGGAATTGTTCTGAGGTTACATTTTGGATGAACGAGTGCAGTAGCTTTAACAAGTTGCAGGTGTTTTCTAAACATAGAAATTTTCATTCAAGACATCAGGAGGAACCTGATCTTACAGGTGACTCTCACAATGAGAAACTTTACAGTCTGCTGCTGAATATCACTAAACAAGCAGTATAAAGCTATTTATTAAACAGCAGATTTCACATTAATTCATAAGTTAACAGCTCCAGACAGCCTAGTTCAGGATGGTGTGAGTCACATCGTATGCTAATGATGTCCCGTAGAACATTGCTGCCAGCAGGCTCTGGCTGATAGTACAATAGTATATAAATGTAATTTCACTTAGATAATGCTATCTATATATACAGTTTTGGTAATATTTTATTTAGCAACGTTTTTAAATATCCTAAGTAGCACACTTAAACTGTCCTGCTTAGATGCAGTCAACTATCAGATACACCAAAGTGACTTGCTGAACCCTGCATTGTCAGTTCTGGATTCCACTGAAGAGATCTGTGTCAAACATATAACACAACTGTAAGTCACCGGATAGATTTAATCCATTTAAAAAACAAAAGATGGAAACAACACAACTACCACTTGGGTCCTAGTTGTGATCCTGGACCATGAGTAGCCTTCTGAAATCCAGAGAATCCAAAGAAGCTTACAGACTGGCTAACAGTAAGCTTGAGAGATGCCAACAGAATCTGCCAGATCAAAAAGCCAAGGACGGAAAGTACTGTGCTCAGAGAAAGCCTGACAGGATAAGGAAGTGAAACAAGGGGGCTCTTTTTACTTTAAAACTGGAAAAGTTTTGTTTGGTCTTATGCAGAAGAAAAATACTGTAAAGGCTTAAAATATATTCAAGTAAAAAGCCCAGGAGGGTTATACTTGCTCTCATCTCTGCAAGTATAACCATTTCGCATTAAGAGCAATTATGCTTCAGTGAATCTGTCCCAGAGTTCAGTAATAGGTTAAGTAGTCTCAGGATACAACTACACTGAGCCTCAGAACCCAGGTCAATTGACTTGGGCTTGCAGGACTCGGGCTGGGGGCTAAAAATTGCAGTGTAAACATTCAGGCTTGGGCTGGAGCCAGGTTCTGAAACCCCACCAGGGTGTGGGTCTCAGCGCTCGCGCTGCACCCTGAGCCTGAATGTCTACTGTAGTATTTTTAGCCCCACAGG